GTCTAGGTTTTTGATGAGTGAGTGAGTGAGTCAGTCAGTCAGTCAGTCAGTCAGTGAGTGTATAGTAAAAATAGCGATTTTCTGACGTCAATATCTCAAGACCTACAATAGGTACATTAATGAAATTTTGTATTTTAGATAAGTAAGTAGATCTCGACAGACACTAGAAATTTCATATGCGTAGATAAAATATATTTTGAGTTATAGGTGGGTCGAACTTGGCCCGAAATGGTTCGTGTAATATAACCCACGGCCGGTGTGTCGCTTTTTTTGCTCGAACTTGGCGGACACACTGCCGTGTGTCTAGATGACTTCATTTCAAAGAAACCACCCCTTAGTTTTTAAAAGACCGAAAAAGACGAAAAAAATTGTCTCCCTATCACATCTATGGACCCGTCGTGTCCAAAAAACATCTAATTATTATTTTTCTTAACATTTTTGAATTTGGGTCAACACGATCTATCTTCACACCACATTTGATGTCGATCGGTCTAAACTGACGAATTCATGGGGGCGGGGCATACAGACTGACAATTTGACGAAATGATAACGGTTTGTAGTAGACTACGAAAGCAAAAAAAAAAAAATTCGTGAAAAATAACCATTCAAATAAAATTGAGTGTTAACTCTACACCATCTTTCCTTACTATATTACTATATTATAACACAAGCTGCTAGGCAGGTGAATCCGAATCCTTAACATTCTGTAGGTAGCTCAAGTTTACAGTATTCGGTTCACAGACATTATTGCATGATCCTAGAAAGAAGATTAATAAGTGATAGGACACATTCAATTATAATGGAATCATAACGATCAGGCATTGACAAGATGATAAGTTCACCGACGTAAGTATGTTGCACATAGTGTGCTGGTTACTAAACAATTGCACATAACCCGATTATTTAATCTAAAGCTCGCATCTTGCTTCGCTTCGTTTCGACATCTTCTTCATTATATTGTTGCATTTGTTGGACACATAGCGAGAACGTCATTGTGATATAGGTACGTTTTATAAATATTTATTGCAACAGTAAGGCGCGAATTTTTCTCGCACGATATTTTGATTTGTACGAAAAAATGAGTGACAATTTTTCCGTCAGTGCTGAAATAAGATTCAGTGTGTTACAAAAAAGCGAGAAAAAAATAACGCGAAATAAAATCGCTGTGCGCACAGAGCCCAAATGTTTGAGATGACCTGATTTTGACGTGATATTTGCATTCATGGTGATCGATCATTGTATACTCGTACCTTGGACAACGTTGATATTTCGTATAACGTGGTTAGTTGTGTACATGATTGTTTAATTCAAAAATTCAATAAGTAGGTAAATTAACCTTGCGAATAATCTGAAATTTTAAGTAAAAATTCTGTTCAAATGTAAATTTCACATAAAATTGTTGTAGGTATATGATTCTGTCACCAAAAGCCACTGCTTGCCCTTAATCCAGGCTGAAGAAGATAATTAGATGTAGCAATAGTCCATGGCGTGACGTCAGATTATGTTGCCTATCGTACCTCACACGAAGATTAATTCTTAGGGCTGGCGGCAGTTTTCTAGGAAATCAATAAAAATAATAAAAGATCCATACAAAAATTTACCACCTTTTACTTTCTGACAAATTTATAGTTCAAAATTATGAAATTGACAAAGTTTACCTGAAGTCTTCAAAGTTTATAAAGGAAATATATCAAGAAGTTCTCGAATCAACACCTACTTATTACATGAAATCCTAGTCTGAGCTTTATCTCAATATCTCTTACAATTTAAATCCAAAGATATTGGTTTCCTCGCATGGTTTCTTTGTAAAGGAGTTCGTATTCAAAAGCATGCAATCATTACCAGGTGCATCAAAGATAATTCATTGAAAGGATCAACTTGTACTGGCTTTTCTCAATAACTGTATGAGAAGCCAGCATTTGGAGACCCCTTGGATGGGTAGAAGAGTGGGTGATATTATAAGCAGATCAAATGGCAGCCCTGTTTGAAACAATGGGTCTATCGGCTGCCCGGCTGATGATTCCAGGTATCTCTTACCGATTGTGGACAAATTACACCGTATTCGTTACGAAACTGGTTTATTAATTGGCAGACCAGTTTCTCGATTATTTCTTCATCTAGAGGTACTTCAGTGTATTGCGTAATGAGCTGACTATGAGGATTAGCCAAGTTCAGTAGCAATAGGTATGAGTTTTTATGTACGTAAAAGAATATTATAGACGCCCCGTACGTAATCTGTAATCCGTGGTTATAAAAAACAAACCTTTAATATGTACCTATAGTCCGCAAACGATCTGATGGCATTCCAAAGCAAAGACAATATTATGGCTTGTGGCTGCCAAACATTCTACCTTCATCAATACAGATCGCGCGCGCACAGTAGGTAGTTTAACCAGTTTATGTATGATAGATCCAATCTAATCCGGTAGATCTAAACCGACTTATTTATTTTATACCGTTCACCGACTTTTGAGTGATGAATACCTACTTAAAAAATACAAATAATCAATCACATAGGTATCTTTAGATTAAGAATTGAAACACCGTCGAAAAATGCGGCAAAAGTTTGTATAATCTGTTAATTTGAAATGTGTACATCAAACTATGAATTTAAACAGCTCGACGTGCATTTTTAAAATAATTGCTTCGTAGTTTTAACGGCGCCACACACCGGGCCCGTATGCGTGAAGTGCACGTAGTCACGACGTCATTACGCGCGGAGAAGAGACGTTGGATCGTATGGAATTGTATGAGAGGCCGCACACTGCCTGCGTATGCATACGCGTAATGTCACGAGCGTAGCGCGGTGTGCGGTGCCTCATACCATCTCATACGATAGAACGCTGCCACTACGAGCGTAATGACGTCGTGCACGTCACGCATACGGGCCCGGTGTGTGGTGCCTTTTAATTGCCGCATTGACAAGTACCTTCGCCGACTCAATCTACGCGAAAATCGTGGCAAAAAAATATATATTTAGGCAATTTCAAACTTATAATTAACTTTAAACGTAAGGCTAGCTATTATTCGCAGCCTCCGCTTAAGAAACCTCCACCGGAGATCAGATAAGATGTCTTTGTTTTTATTGCAACAACCGACAATCGACGCTGCTGCAAACACATCACTTCAAAGTTAATTAGTGCTTTGAGACGTACTATTTGAGGTTGTGTCTTAATCTTTGGGAGATGTCATTCTATGAGATTAGGTCATTGAAATACAAAGAACACTGGATTAAATATTATCTGAACAACTGCACCACCGTTCAACAGTACCCTAGTCATCTTCGTATTCACATCATCATCATCTACCTGCCCATATCCCAATTTATTTGGGGTCGGCGCAACACGTCTTTTTCTTCCATTCATCTCTATCAGCAGTCAAATCCTCACTTACGCCTTTATTTTTTCATAATTATCGTCTTTTATACAATCCATCCTAACTTTTTTAGGCCTTCCTCTTCTTCTGCGTTCATCCACTTTCATGTTCATTACTTTCTTTATTACATGCTCTTCATCTCTCCTCATTACATGCCCATACCAAAATAAACGATTCCCTCTCATTTTTTCGGTCACTGGCGCTACTTTCAAACTCCCTCTAATATACTCATCATCTTCGTATTCACAATACCTATAGGTTAAAATAAATGTACCTAGCTAGCTCTTGACCTACCCGACCGACTTACAGTTACAACATACATCATTACAACCGTTAAGAAATTATATATTATTATTATGTAGGTATATGTAATGTATATTAATATAACCTGTGTATCGTCACTGGCCGTCATCAGAAAATGTAGAGTGGTAGAGTCCCGCTGATCGGCCGACTCGACAACTTTCTCGGACTAGTGTTGCCGCTCATTAGTTACACTATCGATTGTTTAAAATATATATAAGGTGAAATTTTACAAGTGAGTGACCGATAGCGAAAATGCAGGACTGGCTAGTGATAAGGAACAACTTTATCCCAAGGAACATAGGTCGAAATATGAAAAATTGATTTGAAAACCGTCGATAGTATCAATTCACTACAATACAATCGATAATATTGAAATATTGATACTATCGGTAATATCGATTATTTTTAAATCATTTTAGCTGCGATACTTTTGATATTATTGCACTTGTCAATAGAATTACTACACTATATGTTGAGTTGTTCAAATGAAAACCATAGTATTGCTATAGTATAACTATCGATAATTCGACTACCAACACTATCTCGGACCGGCCGAGCGATTAAGGCCATCCACATAGCAAGGTGCCATGGGGTCACTCTACTAACTACTTGCCATGGGACAAGCCGACAGGATAACCATATTATTGAGATTGATATAGGACGATAAACATGTTTCTGTTCATTTGTGATTGTTGTTCGTTTCTTGCCGCTGGCGTCACAAGTAACGTAAAGTAAGACAATAAAATAAAGTTTAATGCGGGCACCCGCTGGACGCAGACCAGTTATTATATCAGAACGGTTAGTTTTCGTACGCGAAAGTCTGTTTCTCACACGTCCTACTGCACAATTCGTTCACACATTTCCTTGACATTAACAAATTCGAGTGGTAGGAAGTGTGATACAAGTGGTTAGAAATGAATTATACTGTTTCAGAAATTATGCACCTCTTGATCTAGGTCAAACTAAAATCAAGAGCGATCCTATAAAAAAGAGACTTCGAGAAAAAATGCCGGTGAACAAAAAGTTCGGAAAGCAAGACCTAAATTACACCGAGTCACTGATTTGTCAGATTGGATCGCGTGCAAACATCCCATCATCGGGACTGGAGTAATTTAATTAAGGCTCGCCCGTTTTATTTGACACCAACTGTTTGAGGTCACCTCAATAATTGTTTAGCTACGTACAGTTAAATCTTATTAAATAATATAAGGTCTCTTTGGAGCCGATAAACGGTATTACATAATAGTACCTTAATTTCAGAGATTCTGGGTAAAAGTCAGGGTCTATGGTATGTTTGTGTAATTTGGCAGGCATATACCGGTGCATCGATAGCTCAGTGGCAGAGCTATGGAGCGTTTGCGGCCCAATGCGGCCCGGGTTCGATTCCCGGTCGATGCATGACATTTTTACAATTTCTTATTTCTATTTATGTTTATATATTTCAAAGCTGCAATTGTTTAAATGAAATATCTAACGTTGACGGAATTATCACCACATAGGTAGTTGCCTATTGTGAAATCCGTTTGAAACCAAATGTTTATAATTTGTTTGTTTTGGTAAATAAAATTCTAATACCTAATGAAATGACCAACCAGATACTAGGGTACTATGTTAGTGATATTCAAAACTATATTAGATTAGTGTTACTATACATTCTTATCCATACTTGGAACAATGGCTTGCCAAAGTCAAAAATTATTAATGTTTACTGCAGATACCATAATAATTATGTCCTCTTGGGATTCAAACCCGTGACCTACGACCTCCATGTTAAGCGCCCGAGGCTCAGACCACTAGACATAGCAGGTAAGAGCACGGACCGTTAAATAATTATGATAAATCTAGAGTGACGACCCGGTTTAAAATAGATAAGTTGAAACGTGGGTGTGAGCTGTGAAGAGTATGATTGAATGCTTAAGCTATTATAATGATTGGTCTCGGTTGTCTGCGTAATTGAAGAACTCATTCAGGGTATTTTTATATTAAACGTGCCGAATACGGTAGATCTACCTACATTCACAGTAAACTATTTATACCCATACGGTTACAGATTAATAATATGCTTGGCAGTCTTTACACAACCATGTCAGATGCCTGCTACGAGTACTTGCAGTAGGCGGTTGAAAAACTCTGATACCAGGGTTCATCAAGTCGTTAAACGACTCGGTGTCCCACACGATGAGAGAGAGAGAGCGCGAATGAAAAATGTCACGCATCGATCGGGGCTCGAACCCAAGTTGCATGAGCCAACGCCCCACCACTCTGCCACTGAGCTAGCGATGCACCGATAGGTGCCAGCAAAATTTCAATCTATTGATGTTCGTCTCCAAGCGACAAATAGCTACCTAAAATTATGGGGCGCCGTTATATGCGTGGCGTGCTAAGTGCAGAAAAATACTGCTTCAAACTAGTCGCAATGATATTTTCTCTAGATGCAGCTGAACCGCTATTGCCAAATGTTACGATGATTAATGAAGATGATAATCCTTCCTACCGATTTCTGCCGTGGCACAAATTAGGGAAACGGCGTGCGGGGCGTCTATACAGATCGCTAACTCAGTACTAGCCACGATTTTGACGCTTACTGACTTTAACTGGAAATAACTAGAATCTCAGGGGAAGGCAAGGTAACTAAGATGTATTGACACAAAAGTCATATTTCTTGGATTTAAAATGGCTCAGAATCATTTGACGTTCTTAATCAGATTATGATGTTTTGATATTTTTTTACTGTGAGATTTTTGACAGTAGCAACCCTGACTATGTAACAAAGGCCAATCGCGAAAATCCGAAATAGGGCCGAGTGAACCTTCTGCAGTAATGCGGTCAGAACAGCCAATATTTTTGCAGTCAACCCTCGCACACAATGTGGGCAGGTAAATTTTCCGTTCACATAGTTGATAATGTGTGTGGTGCCGGCAGAGTAGAATAGCACCACCCCCTCTCTTCCCGTGGGGGTCGTAAGAATAGATTGGAAATTAAAAGAACCCTTCCACGTAACAGTACGAGACATCTCCTATTATCAACTGCAACCTACTGCACCCCTCGATAACTCACCTATATGCACCGTATGCAATGCAGTATGCATATTGTTATTACTACACAAAATGCAGTTCCCTAGTGCCTATTCAACCGTGGCTGTGTTCATGTAGCATTGAAATGAGGGCAGTTGTTAACCGATTCAACGAAAAGGAGGATGCTCATGATAAACCGCTAAAATTTTAATGAAAGAACACAAACTTTAGCCCATTGGGTTCAATTGTTAAGCTGAAAAGACCACAGAGCAGACCAGCCTGTCTTTAGTAATAATAAGTAATAATAATCGTTTATTTCAGGCTCTTGACCCATATTAAAAAGAAAGAAAAGGTACAACAGTAACAAAATTATTAAAATATAATAGCTATAATTCTAAGTTCAACATTCAAACTACTATGGCATTACTAAATTACTATTGCATTACTAATTTAGTGCAGATGTCAGGGTAGAAGACTCCCTTTTTGACTTTAAGTTTGAGTCATAATTAGTGACAATAAAATGGCAGTTGTGTGTCGCTAGGATTCCGAAAACCTATGGTGCACCGAGTCATTTTTCTCAACACGCTCTCATTTCAGAAAATGGTTCTTTTATTGTAGTCGGACTTCAGTTATTTTCTATGGTTTACAATGTTTCTGGACTGGCCGCGCGTGCGCAGCGTATCGTGCGACGTATCCGGTGATACCATCGCCATTGGACAGCATTGGACCTTTTATCTCTTGCACAACGCATGCGCCACTTTGTAAGGAATGGAGCTTTTGACTGACAGCGTGACCTTGAGGTATAATCAACGGTTTTGATTGATATGTCGGAAAGGAATGAGAGATAGTTATCGATTGCCGTGGTTTCTTGACCGGTATTTTTATAAATCATTTTCATTCGTTTAATTGTTTTGTTACATTCGTGTTCACAATCTTTAAGCGTAAAAATATTTCAACTTTTACATTTTGCGTCTGTCACATCCAAACCAAAGACGTACAAATATCTGACTTACATACCTACCTGCCGATAGCGTGTAAGTTGACCAGTAGCTACTACGGTAGTTGAAAGTTAATTATTAGAAAAAATCTTATAGAGAGACAATCGCCACACTGCAGTATTATCACAGCTTATACATATTTTAACGAAAGGGGATAAAGTAAACCGGTTAACCATCGGAATTCGCTTCTGCCAATGGCGATCCATGGTGAAAAGTGAAATGCCGTGCCCGCTCTAGGCGGGGCTATTGACAATGAAAATATAGGTAGGTATGCGGCCAGTCTGTGTTTGCAAGGTCTTTATACACAATTACGTAATATCAGTTTTGTCGGCGTTTATTGTCTGAACTAGCTGCCCGTCAGCGGTTTCACCCGCTGCAAGCAACCTATTATTACGCGGGAAAAAAGCATTAGGTACTCGCCAAGAGATGTCGCTGTTAGTTTTCGACGAAAACGTTTAAAACGCGAATCGGCTCAGTCACGCCACCTTTGCAATAATATTGGAATATGCGTGATCCCGTAGGAATAAGACATTTTCCCGTGGTAAAAAGTAGCCTATGTGTTATTCTAGATACTCTTCTATATTTGTGCAAAATTTCATGTCAATCTAATCAGCCGTTTTAGCGTGATGTCGTAACTAACACACACACACAAACATCCGCCTTTATAATATTAGTAGGAAGTAGGATAGGATTGCGACATGAAAAAACGAAGAAGCACAACTTTCTTCCGGAAACGTTACGAAGATGTCCCACTGCTGAGCAAATATCAACACCTTCAATTCTTTTACCAAATTAGTTCCAGCAAATTTGATCCGTTGATAAATTGAGAAATTGGTTAGGATTATGGTTACCGTATGTACTTCCTAACGCGCCTACTGTATTTGCTCAAATGCCAATGACTATATTGTCTTGTTACGTATGGCGTTTCTAGTACATAGTAGAGGTACCTATAGTTATTTTTATGAAAACCCAATACAAGTTTGATGTGCTGGTGATTAGATTACCTACCAAACCAAATACTTCTACATCTTTGTTGCAAACTCCCTCTAACACCATAGCTATGTAGGTAAATAAATAACTAAGTTTATACCTACCCGACATGTCTTTGTGTATCAAATTGATTATGATAACATTTTGTTACAATCATGACATGATTAACTTTCTGTGACTGGGACTAATTTCATTACAATCAAATAGGTAATACCTTACCTACTTAACCGCACTAAAAGAATGTAGATAAAGTAGGAAGTAACATTTAATCACAGTTTAATAAAAAGATAACTTTCGAAGATTGACTTAAATAACGTGACATTATTGTGTTGTGTTGTGTATCATTTTGACCACCAAAATAATGTTATTCAATTAGATAAAAATCCGAACAATAACTATAACAATATTTTATTCCTTTCAATATAACATGTCATAAAAGTGAGCTACGTACCTAGGTACCTACATAGATGGTAAGCAATAAAAATTACAATTTATTAATTAAATTTTCTTCAACACCAAGTTTTAAATTTCTGAAAAACTCTTAGACTGTTTTGTTTATCTATATTAAACAAGTAGATTAAAAAACAAAAAACCCGACTGCGGTAATTTCAAGTATTTTCCTGTCCTCCAAAGAAAGAAAATCCGCCATCTTGAATCTATAATTTTTTAATATAGCCAGTGTCACTCGCGCTGCTGAGACGAGTCTAACGACACCTCATATTATGTCAAAATTCAACTATCCCTTTGGGCTGTAGCCCGTGAAAAAAAAATCTTGTCCACATACCTACATACATACATACCTACACTCGAACAACATAACCTTCCTTCTGAGGCGGTCGGGTAATGATGAAACATACGCGAAATGTCGAATGTTTTTGCTGTTGATATTATTTTTGCTATTATAAACTGGGTCAGGCTTCAAATTACAATGATTACATCCAAATTGTAAACTCGGACGCGAGGCCCAGACGTAACTTTCGTTGCTGCATTTTTACCGCAGCGCTAACGCATGCGCCTGTCAAATGGAACGAATTTCGAAGAATGCGTCGGTCGAGGCAAGTTTCTGCGTCGGTTTTAAGTATCGGTAATTTGAAATTCGACAGCCGATGTGGCGCAGTGGTTAGTATGTCTGCCTCCTGCCACGCAAAGGTTCCGCGTTCAATTCCCGGTGGGGTCACTCACAAAGTTGATATTTATCACTTTGTGAATTTGTTCCCAGTCTGGTTAGGACATTGCAAGCTGAACCACCTGATTTTCCGCAAGTAAGATGGTTAAGTGCTTCGGATGGGCACGTTAAGCCGTCGGTCCCGGTTGCTGTCTTTGATGGCGGTCGATACACAGCCATGTCAGAGGCCTGCTACTTGCAGTAGGCGGTTGAAAAACTCTGACACCAGGGTTCATCGGGTCGTTGAACGACTCGGTGACTCACACGAAAAAAAAATTTGAAATTTCCTTGCATACTGATTGATGACAGACGCTTGCGTTCGCAGTGCGCTGATAATGCGCAATAGGCGTGACGTGTGGAACCCGACTAAAATCAGAAACACGAGCGTGACAAATCATGAACATTACGTATTATTATTACGATATATTCATCATTATAAATATTATAATAATCATCTTATTTAGAGCGTTTCGCTCTTTACATCGATGTTATCTATTGCGATGATGACATTATTTTTCATCAGTTCCTATACATATAAGGTCCTATTAAATTCACTGCAAATATTTTAGGGGCAGATCAAAGAAAATATAAGCATGTACTAGGAAAATTTTTAAAGAAATCTACACGCTAGCTTTCGAGAAAATAGCATTTAACTAAAAAAACACAAAACGAAAAGAGTGCACCCTGTTTGTCCTAGAAACACACACTTCGATGAATTTAAATTACGCGCCAAAATAAAGGTGCTGTGATTGGTTGGTTGTCAGTGTGCGTGCCGCGTAAGTGAATCCTGTCTACGAGGCGGAACGTCAGTCAGGTCAGTCAAAGGATGTTCACATAATTACTTAATTAAAAAGTTTGTTTGAAAGTGAAAAAAAATATCTAGTGTGTAGATTTTTTAAAAAATGCCTTAGATGTTTTTCTTATACATATTTACGCATGCCCTTAAAATATTTGTATTGAATTTAATAGGACCTTATATAGCGCATGTCCAAAATATTTATACATACAGTTTTTCTAGCGAGGCATAGACGATACAAAAATCCTAGATAGCTTCCGGCATTCCGGATGATGCCGGCTTAGAATTACACCACCCCAATTCTACCCGTGTGTCTTGAA